TCAAGCTTAAGCTCCCCCTCTCTGGAGCTCACCTCTCCTCAAATGGCTCTGCAGCGAGCACCACTTGGAATTTACCGGTATTTTGGAATAGATGTGTGAATGCTCTTTTCCGGAAAATTTCCGTAACGTCCTCGCCTGTGTGAACAGCGCTTTTTTGAATATACCGGTAAAGTCGTTCCGGAAATTTTCCGGATATTTACCGGTAACACTGTGTGAAAGGGGCTTTTGATATCAAGGTTTCTGCTGATGGGCTTAAGCGCGGCCCTGGGGTATCGACAATTGATGAAAGCGGTCAGTGCTGCTCAAAACCCCACCAGGCTGGCTGGCTTGATTGAAACGCTGATAGGTAGGCTTGTTAATACTCAGACTATTGTCCTAGACCGCAAATTGGAAAACATCGGTGTGAAACTAGCGGCTTTGCAACAACATTTGGCCAGATCTGGAGACAAGTGACGAACATTAAATATCTGTGAAATTGGCAGATATAAAGTTGAAGTACGTTTCTACTCTTTCAGTTCCCCTGTTTTTTTTCCTGCCTCAGCTAGAGAAAAACAACTTCTTTCTCCCGGATAGCAAGATAAGGAGACGCTCTGAAATTCCTGCTCCCTGTAAAGGACACCTGTTAGACTCTACAGGCTTACACACACACACACACATACACAGCTACAGATAGACAATCACTACCTAGCTCTGCATCCCACGCCTTCGTGTCCTTTCACAAGAAAGTGTATGTGACAAATAAAGGCCTGATTTGATTTTGATCTCAGATCCCTTTTCTCTTCCGGGACAGGGTGCCAAACCTGCTAATAGTATCAAGCAATATCTAAGTGTGAACTCTTGAGAACTCTTGACTAGCCACAGGGAGCACTGGGACATTTTGTTTGTGCTGCTTCTGTTATTAAAATATTGGACATGTGTGCACGTGTGTGTGTATTGATTATGGTGGTTTATGAGGACATAAATTTGTGTGCTGTCATGGCTATGACCTATTACAATGTTAGGGTGGTTTATAAGGACATGCCCTGTGTCCTCATAATACAAAACTGTAAGGGTTGGGTTTAGGGATAGGGCTACATAATAAGCTTTTGTACAGCATAAAATACATTACAGCTATGGAGAGTCCTCATAAAACCACTAAAATGAACATACAGTTGAATCAAAATTATTTGCCCTCCTGTTAATTGTTTTTTTCTTTCTCAAATGTTTCCCAAATGATGTTTCAGAAATTTTTTCACAGTATTTCCAATATTTTTTCTTCTGGAGAAAGTCTTATTTGCTTTATTTCGACTAGTATAAAACTGGTTTTATTCAAAAGCGGTCAATATTATTAGCCCCCTTAAGCAATATTTTTTCAACTGTCTACAGAACAAACCACTGTTATACAATAACTTGCCTAATTACCCTAACTTTACCCTAATTAACCTAGTTAAGCCTTTAAATGTCACTTTAAGCTGAATACCTTGAAAAACATCTTATAAATATCTTGAAAAATATCTTGTCAAATATTATTTACTGTCATCATGGCAAAGATGAAATAAATCAGTTATTAGTAATGAGTTATTAAAACTATTATGATTAGAAATGTGTTCTTTCCGTTAAACAGAAATTGGGGAAATAAATATACAGGGGGACTGATAATTCACAAGGGCTAATAATAAATGATAATAAACAAAACTGAATGTGTGTGTGTGTGTGCAGGTGTCTCCAATGCTGAAGGACTTTCTGGACCGTATGCTGACGCGTGATCCTCTGGAGCGGGCGAGCGCCACAGATCTGCTGGAGCATCCGTTCCTCCTGCAGGCCAGTTCTCCACAGTGCCTGGTGCCCCTGGTGGAGCAATATCGCAAGCGCATGTCCCGCTGCTGAGACGGAAACCAGAACCACGGTCTGGACGATCTGCTGTCCGCTTCAGAGCTGCTGACGGCCCCGGAGACGCAGGACAGATGGATGTGATGAGCAGACCACAGAGATACTCCATTCTCTACTGCACGACCACACATTTACAGCGGGGTAAATAAGAATTGAACACGTCACGGTTTTTCCGTAGTCAATATATTTCTTAAGGAGCTGTTGACACATTGTTGGATTTACTCATTTGTTTTAAAGTAAGTAGTTGTAAACAGTTTATATGGGCTAATTTTAAACAAATGAAATTGGACATTACTAGATTGGATTTGTTTGTTTAAATTCAGCCCATATAAATTGTTTGCAACGAATTACCATAAAACAAATTATTAAATACAATAAATCTTTTTTTTCAGTGTATGAAATAGTTCCAGATTTTGGTCAATACTCAAACATCAGTAAAACAACAACAAAAATCAAGCCAGGCTTATGGATACGTGCCCCTGTATATATTTATAATGAGCGTGAAATATGTCCCAGGAGATACATTTTTTTGCCGTTTTTGTTTTCATGAACCTGCCAGAGGCCGATGCGTATACCTGTTCAGATCTCAAATGTCTCTGGACCTAGCTATCGATCTGATCGACAGTGTTTATAAAAGCAATCCAGAAAAAGAAAAGCCCTGGATTTGGCCTGGTTTTTACAATTTTTTCAGATCTTAATGCATTTCACCCTGTTATTTACCCTGTTATCACCCTGTTTATTTTATTTTTGCCTTTTTTTTTACATGCTTTCTGGAACCATTCTTCGGCAAACTCAAACCCCATCATCGCAGTTAATGCCTCTTTGCATCTCAATTCATCCAACATACATTGCAAGCTACTGGGTAAACTGGTAACATTAGAAAAGCCGTCCATACAGAGGGATGTGGTTAGAAGCCATAGGCAACATAACTAAAGGCTCATGCACAAAGGGACGCTCTTTTCCATTGACGTTTAACGCTTCGTGACTAAATAAAGGCCGCCAATGTGATCGTGCACACTAATGCGCAAAATGGCAGTCGTAAAAGTGTGTTTTTTAAAAGAAACGCCTCATGCTTGTTTTTTGTTTTGACCGTTTCAAAACCTTCTCCACCAATCAGATTGGCACTTTTGTTCACGTGCACGTTTAGCAGAGGCCAGCTAGTGAGTGGAACCATGCGGAAGGTCGCCGGTTCGATACCAGCTCGGAGCGGGTTGGGTGGCGTAGGTTACATTGGTGCCGTGACCTGGATGGGAGTGAGATTTAGGGGGGTGAGTGTAGCAGTGGCCAGCTAGTGAGTGCTGTGCAGGTAAACCTCACTCCTCTGACCTCTAAAGGTGCTCTAGCAACAGACGCTAGAGGCCATGGTCTATAGCCTCCTTGTTAGAGCAACCGACTGCCATGCAGAAGGTCGCCGGTTTGATACCAGCTCGGAGCGGGTTGGGTGGTGTAGGACCGGCGGGGTTACACATGGAGCTACTGAAGTTACAGTAAACAGCACTTGGAGGCGCTCAAGCGCAAACCTGTCAATGGGAGGACACATTAAAGTAGATGCCCAGAGGCGATATGAACGTGGAGCTGCTCATTACTCTGGTGAACAATAATAATTTCTTCATTGCTAGTGCTGGAGCTGCTACTTGAACCATTTATAATAACAAGCGTGTCAACTTTCTGTCTTCTTCTGTGTTACAAGCGAGAATCAGAAGCTTAATGTTGTGTAGCGCCATCTAACATCAAGGAGTGATTTTGCATAATCTGTCCAATGCCAGTGAAAATCATTTCAGTTTGAATCAGGAACAACGTCTTAAAAAACGCTGACGAACGCAAACGAAAACCCTACTGAAAAATCCAGCTTAAACCAGCCTAGGCTAGTTGGCTGGTTTAAGCTGGATTTTTCAGCAGGGAAGCATTCCGGTGTGTACGAGCCTTTACACATAATTTCTAAACTGATTAGTTTTGTTTTCGATGTTTGTATGGATTACTTTGGTTGTTACTGACATCTGGTGACAGTTTCAAGTCAACAGCACCTTTAGAACTATGTTTTCTGTGTAAAATGGTGACGTGTTCAATAATTATTTTACTCGCTGTAGGTGGTTACAGGCAGTGAAATGTGACTGAAAGCGCCACATATTCTGGGTAAAGCTGCTCATTTTCAGCATAATCGAGACTCTGGAATTTCCGTAGACAGAAACGAAAGTCATCTGTCTCATGTTTAAGTTCACTGAGCACATATTTTTGGATATATAAAAGTATTTTATAATGCATAAATATACTGATTTTGATCTCACCATTGGTTTTAACAGCTACGCCAACTTTATTAGTAGAAACAATTTACTTTTAATTCGTTAGTCATGTCATTTATACCATAGGGCTGTTGAATGATTGATTCTGATTGGCTGATGAGCATTCTAAGTCCTCTATTTCAAATAAACACACAGCTAAAGTAGTTCCGGCAGGTTTTGAGCACTTTACAGCTCCATATCACTACGCTGAATGCTTTCAGGTAACTAAAACAATCCAAAAATCACATCAAAACACAACAGAAGGCTTTGGTGGAGATGTGGAAGGAACTAGTGCTACACACATAAGCAAAAACCTGACAAATAAAGTCTCAAATACAACATCTTAACAGTGGCTTTTACTTTAGAAACCAGAGTATGAGCAGAATAATTCACTCACAGCCATTGGATTATTAGAAAATCATGCATGAGTTGTGATGACACTCTGCTTCCTGACAATGTTGAGTGTGCATTATTTTCATAGTATAAGAGGAATAATCAACTCTGGTTCTTGGAATATTATGCCATATGTGTAACAGCCACTGTTATATCTTCGGTGTGCATTATTTTCAAATAATTTAATTGGTTCCAACTACAATCATTCAACCCACGCTCATTAATTGATACGTACCCCCATATACATTTCTGGAGAGCGCAAAATACTTCCCAGGAACTACGTGTTTTTGCAGTTTTTGCGAATCCACCAGAGGCCGCTGTGTGCGTCTTTTCAGATCTCAAATTTCTTTCGCGCCTGCAGTTCTCGCATAAATCCATCAGAGGCCGCTGTCAGCTGACTGAACAACCCTTCTCCTTCCCTAAACCCAAACGATAGTGTTTTCTAAAGTGATCCAGAAAAAGAAAAGTCCTTGCCTGATTTTTGCCACGTTTTCAGATCTGTTATTTACTTGTTTTTTACTTTTGCCTTTTGTTTTACTTGCTTCTTGGAACCGTTCTTCGCCAGACTTGAACCTCGTTGTCGCGGTCAACTCCTCTTAGCATCTCAAGTCTGCCGACATACATGGCGAGCTACTGGGCAAACTGGTAACAGTAGAAAAGCTGTCCACACGGAGGTAAGCGATCAGAAACAGAAGCCACCAGCGGCATCATACCACCCCGTAGCGTTTGTTTTAAAGATGAAATGCAGCCATACATAGCTCTGGCTACATAATTAGAGATCTCCAGAAATGTATACGAGGGTACATATTCACAATGAGTCTGTGTTGCAATTATTCCTTACTTAATTTCAACATTTACTAATACATTACTCAAGTTAACAGTTATTTAATGGACCTGAGCTTTTATGAACTAACAACAAATCATTTGCAGTTCATATGAAAATGATTCATCTTAATAAAAGTACTGTAGCCAACTCTGGTTAATAAATTAGCTAGCATTAACTAATTGAAATGTATTGTAAAGTATTAACTTAATATTTATTTAACTACGGTGTGGAATTATATACAGTTAAACTGATTTGCGTTACATGTATTTTGGATAAATGACAACAAGCTTCAGGCTCATGCGATCAGATTTTAATGCATTTTGTCGCTTCACTATGAAACAAATGTATTTTTCTTCAGTATTTTTGTCATTTTCAGGAACAAATATCTTAGGTGTTAAATCTTGAGAGCTGATAAATTCTTCAGAATTGAATTTTTTGATAAAACCAAGAAAAAAATTGCCAGAAGCGTCAAAAAATAAACCTGTTTTCCCTTTAAAATGGTAACTAGTTTGAAGCTGATAATGTTTTTAAATCAATATGCACCAAGGACTCCTTCACAATAAGTCAACAAGCATGTATATATGCATGCATATATATTTATACAACAGTTCTGTATGGTTCTCGAATCTGATTGGCTAATAGCTGTGCAATATTCTGCAATATCAGCACTCGTACTGTCTCTTGTGTATTACTCCACCCACATGACAAGCAGAGGAATAAGCTCACTACAGTTTGACAATATTGCAGCTGTTGGACAACATAATGTACTTTAGAGGCTTTTAGGAATGTAATTGTTTAGATTGCAACTATGCAGTTAATTAATAAGGATAGTGCCTATTTTAAAATATGTATGATTTCAGATTGAGCACGTTGGCGGCCATCAGAAGAGCAAAGAAATTGACAGTTGACATTCCGCCACAAGATGGCGACAGAGACTACACAATAATTCCTTGTAAGTGACATTCTAAGTCAGGGGTTTTCCCGCCAGGTTTTAGCCTGAACCTGATCGTTCCCACTTATATTCAGCTTTTGTTGTCCCGCTGCCCGACCCACTCTGTTTTCTACCCGCCGTGCTCAATCCCGCTAAAGAGCGGGGGGAGAACCAAACCAAAAACCAGCCAGCTATACAGAGTCCAGACAACCTATAACAAGCTGTCTGTATTAACACACACACACACACACACACACACACACACACACACACACACACACACACACACACACACACACACACACACACACACACACACACACACACACACACACACACACACACACACAGCAACAAACAAGCTAAACACAGCATCGCGCTGTTTCATTTACACACATACATACACGTGCTCGCTCGCTCTGGAGTTGGGAGCGATATTGCTAGACAGCCCGCTCCTGTCCCAAATTAAACCCGTTACCGACCGCTCCCGCGCTTTATTTGGAAATTTATTCCCATGCCGCAGAAATCTGGTCGGGACAGCCGCGGGAATGCAGACCTCTAGTGCCAAACTCATTTTAGCTCAGGGCCCACATGGAGTAAAATCTGTTTACAATTGGGCCAGACTGGTAAAATCATAGTATAAGTAACGTGACGTACTTGTAGAGCGCGTATGCAAAGACAGGTGGGGAGAGAAAGGGGTGCGCAACATATTTGCGGGGGGTGGGTGGGAGGTGAGACGCACGATTTCCGGGAGATTATAATTTGTTTGCGGGTATCCTTGAGTCTCTATGCATATGCGGGAGACTCCTGGAACTTCCAGTAGACTTGGG